GGATCTGCAAATATTTTTATTGTTTAGAAAAGGAATCGGAAAAAAAAGATTTATAAGCGAGATTTGATATTCTAATTGGTACAAAAATGATAAATGATATCAATATTAAACTACGATCTTTTCCATATAAAAATTTACTAATCTAACCTTTCCATCGCATAATTAATTTTTTTTTTCAAACTATCATTTAAATCGCAAATGATGTAAATATTAATAAAATTAACATAACATTGGCGCTGGGTTTACCATTTTATTTCTTATTGAGATCTTTATAATAAGCGAGAGTTTTTAATACAACTTTTTTTTTTACTCGAAAAATTTAATCAAATTTATTTTTTGATATATGACCCCGGTGTAGGATTATAAATATTGTCAGAATTATAGTGCTTACAAATTGAAGCGGTTTCGTTTTGCGTTTCATTTTAAATGGTAAACGTACAGATTGTAAAAGCTTTTTACATGTTTGCTTAGTATTAAGCGGCTCGATTTGCGATTTTTTAAAACAGCTAACTTAATATTTTAGAAGAATATTACGCAAACCTCAAGATTTTGGTCATAGATGGCAGAAAGGTTTGGACATCTATTAGCGAAATCTTGTAATTTGGGCGATATTTTTCTGACTAAAATATTGAGTTGGCCTTTTTTAAAATCGGCTAAAATAGAACCGTTTGACAAAAAATCGTGGGTTAATGCAAAATAGTTTTTCAATTTTTTTAAAAATGAAATGCCACTACGCCTAAACGTTTCCGCTCAATTTGTAAGTACTCTCAGATGGGAGATCATATTTTCCGATTTCCTCATTTATCCTCTAAGTCTCTGCAGTATTTAAGACCCGGCCTGGAAAGAGCCTAAAAATAATAATCATATAATGAAAGGGTTTAATGTATTCATTTACTGTTTTCATATATTAAATTTCCCTTTAAAACACCTTGCAAAATTTTTAACAAAATTTCAAAAATATTTTAAAAAACCTAGATGGGCCAAAAAATATTATTAGGCAGGTGGTTGGAAATGATTTATTTTTTTTCAAATATTGACCGAGCCAGAAATTTTGAAATTTTATATGGACCAGCGTCTGAAATTCTCAATTTATTTTTAAAGCTTGAAATTAGGCTAATTCATATCTCTTTTTTGTTTCATAAATTTTTTTATTACGGACCCACAACTTGTATAAAACTATTTTATAAGACCTGACCCAGTAAAAAATTTATTGGCCTGGCCGAATGAACTTTTCAAAAATTCTCATGAGAATGTATGGGAATAGTCCTGTTACTTATTAATTCTTGAAACAATCATTGCTTAATGATCGGCTATTACGATTAGGGGGTCTGCAATGCCCGGCCCATCTTAAAGAAAATTTATTTGGGCCGGGGTGGGTAAAAAAATTATGCGTTGGACTATTCATGAATTCTGAAAAAGTGTAGTGTTTTAATACGTACTCTCGTGATTAAATAATTTCTATATTATTATTATTATTACATTCAAAATCTGTAATGATTTTTTTTTTGATCATTGATTTTTTAGGTTTTACTTTATTTTAGAATTTTACAAGGCAGATTTTTTAAAATTTATTTCAATCTATTCAATATATCAGATACCAGAAAAGAATTAATATTTAGTGCTGTTAATAATCCCGATTTGGGTGGATTTTTAAACGGCCGATTAAGATTAGCCAAAATATTATGTAAGCCTCGAGATTTGGCAAATAGAGATCTAAACTCTTCTGTCATCTATGAACAAATCTTCAGGTTTACAAAATGTTATTTTGGCTAATCTTAATCGAGCCGTTTTTAAAAATTGACCCAAATCGGGATTTTTCAACAACTTTGAAGATTTGTTTAAATATTTGAAAATTTTTTTTCAAACTTTGATTATAACAAGAGAAGCACCAATACATTTTTTTTCTTTATAATTTTTTTCGCCGATATCGATTGAAAGTATGACTAAATAACAACTAAAAAAAGGTATCGACCGAACCCGATATGAGTATAGGTTAACCGAGAAATATTTTTTTAAAATAAAATAAAGTATAAGAATTTTTGGCATCAAATCCAAACGCTAAAAAAAATACGTTTTTTATCTTTGAGCGCGCAATAAAATGTTTTTTTAATAAATTTTTTCGCCTGTGATAAAAACTAATGACGTTACTAACAAAACGTCATAAACGTGTATTGAGTAGAGTCCCGTTTCGGACCTCTTTTATATCGGGTCCGGTCTGAAGGCCCGTTGTCCGAGTTATTATTATCAGAGACTTTGGATGAAGTAAGATAGGAAAAAAACAAAATAACTTAAAATTTGGGGAAGCTCGAATCCGACAGGCTAATAAATATTTTTTTGTCCTATATGAGTCTATTTCAAGTCGGACAGGTACGCAAGATTCTATGCGCATTTACATTGAATTCGTTGTTTCAATCACCTATTAAATAATTTAAAGCCCTTGCATGAACCAATTCGTTAGATTAAGAATTTATTTCGCCATATCGAACTCGAATCTCAATATTTGAAAATTATTTAGTTTTCCCTAAAGTTTTCATGAATATTATTTATTTTCCTTTCAAGCGCTTAAATTATTTTCCACTTTCATTGACAATATTCGTACTTTGACAATAGTCCATTAAAAAATTTAATAATTTTCAGATCGGAGTCGAACCGGGGGACCTATTCCGAAAATAAATTCGGATCTAGATCTTTGAAAAAAAATACTACAATTAGATTGGTCGGAATAATATATTCTCGTATCGAGTCGGACCTAAAAAAAAAGGTTCTATAGTTGAACACCTATATAAGTTGAGAGCAATCAGGGGTGATACTGATAAATATAAATAGATTTTGATATTGAAGGACCGATATAAAAGGGAGGCACCATTAGATTTAAGAAAAAATATGGTCAGAGATAGTAACCTTAGGATGCTCCATTCGTATTAAATAATCTATCATCATTAAAGTATTGCTACTTATACTATATAACAAATAAAAGTATATTTCTCTAAATAATAATTTTACGCATACAAAATCGTAGCCAGGGGGAAAGAAAGGAGGTAAAAATTTTTTATATATATTTATAAATTTTAACAACACATTAAAAAGTTATATTATATCAAATATAATATTATAACAAAACTATTTATTTTTTTAAAGGTAGGATAAATTTAGGAGGACCAAAAAAGATCCTTGTTTATATCAAAAAAAACGATCATTAATCATAAACTAAGCGTTTTGATATAATAAAGCTGCTTATTTTTTTAAAAAACCTATTTATTTGCTAAGAGTAAAACCATAAAATGGAAGCGTAGTTTTATTTTCAGAGAAGAAGTGAGATTAACTCACGGCCAAATCGTGAGATTTAGCAACTTGACCAAAAATAAAACTTATTCGCGAGCCCTTCATTTGTTGGTCAAGGTAAGGTTAATCAGTTTGATATAAACATGGGAAATGATTAATGTATTTATTTTATGATTGGTCAAAATTTAATTTATGTGATTTCAATCCAAGACCACAACCTATCAATATAGTTAGAAAAACGTATTCTTTCTAAATATAAATAAGTCACTTTAATAAACTTAATTAACCAAGCCAAGCCAATACATAAGTAAACAAAAATAACCTTCGTAAATATTAAATATACAAAATGAAAAATCTTTAATTTGGAATTATCTTTATCGTAAAGTAAATAACGCTCAATAATCGGAAACCTCTAAAAATGGCATAACTTTAAAAACCTGGGTCTGGCCGGGTCAATTTTAAAAAATTTAGCTTATAATTTATAAAAATATTTAATTGAAAAGATTATATTTAATAATTCTAGATGATCATATTTTTCAAATTCCCCTTTGAAACAATTTGTTAAAAGTTCAAAATCGCAATTTTTAAGAATTCTGGGCCGAGCAAAAAATACACAAATCGAGGGTACGGGATTATCAAATTTTTTTTCCCAAACCCACCCTGAAATAATGACCTCTGCAAGTAATGTTTTTAAATGGCTTTATTTGAGCCGATTTAAAAACGATTAGATCAATTTAGCCAGAAAAATATTGCCTAAGCCTCGAGATTCCGCTAATAGATGTCCCCAAACCTTTGTATCATCTACGAGCAAAATCTTCAGGCTTGGATAATATTTTTCTGAATAAAATATTAAGTTAACCATTTATTAAAAATCGGCTCAAATAGAGTTATTTAACGACAATATCTGCAAATTATTTGTCAAATAATTTAATAATCAAAAGTTATTAAATAATAAAGAGTGTAAAATAATAAAAATCTTAAAAATTAAATAGTTGCCATTTAGTATATTTGCACGTCACTAGGGTGTGCTAATTGGGTGCTCGATTTCGAAAAATATTAGAAGAGCAGAGTTTTTTTGCAAATTGTTTCAAAGGGAAATTAACAAAAATTTTAGGTTAAACCCGCATACCCGAGATTTAATCCGAGCCTGGAATAGAGATCTACAAGAGCGATGTTTTAGTTCGCTAAAAAATTTAAACATTGGGCGGGCGGGCGAACGTTTAACCTTTTAAAAGAAATTTTTAAAACAATAAATGGAAGGGCAGCTGGTGTTCCCGGGTGTTTACTAAAAAAAATATCAACCGTCTAATTTGAACGTTAAAATATTTAAGCTCAATTACAAAAAAATTATGAATGAAAATCGATTTACTTTACGTTTATTTATTGCGAAGAAAATAGTAAAAAAAATAACACCTACTCATTGACGTCAAACATATTTTATAAAAAACATTAATTGGTGTAATAAAAAATTTGATAAGATTGATTGAATTATTTTTAAAAAAAAAATTCCAATTTGGATCATGCTAAAAAAAATTTTTGCTGATACTTTTCTAATTTGAGCATCCGGTAAATTTGTGATCAAATTTGTAATATTTTTTCCATAAATTTCTAATTAGCAAAAATAAAAAATTGAAACTCGTACTTCACTATAAATAGATAGGAAATAATTTACAGAAAAATATTTATACATTACAAAAAAAAAAATTTAATTTTTTTACCTGTATAATTTATATTTTTGGTTTTAAATTAGCAAGGAATTCTCATATAGAAATTTTTTTTTAAATATATTTGAATTTTTTAAGGAATACCTGAAAGAAATATTAAATATAGATATTATTAATTTATTTTAAAATAAAATATTCTTAAAACTTTTATAATTTTTTTTTAAAAAAAATAAGATATTAATTTATAAGCAACAAAATCTGTTTTTTTTTGTAAGAAAAAGAATTATAATAGAAGAGAATAAAAACAAAAATATAATAAAAAAAAATACCAAAAATAAAATTATATATATATATATGAAAAAATTTTATTTAAAAATTTATTTATTTCTTAATTTTGTTTATTTTATATAATATATTTTTTTTACTATATATTTGTCATTTATTTATTTATTTAAACATTTTAAAATAGAAGATTTAATTTAACCAAATAAAGGGGGGAAATATTGATTGATTTGTGAACCACCTCAGGGCTAAGAACTAAGCAAGAGTGTTATATCTATGCTCAAATTAAAGGGTCGAATTAGACAAGGTTTTACAGGAAAAAATATTTTTTGTTGTTTTTTTTCGTTTGCACATTGTAAATGCTAAAATTTTCGTTTATATTTTATTTTTTTTGTATGTTATATTTTATTTTTACATTTACATGCTAAACAGGGAGGTATTTTTTATAAATAGCTTCTTTCATTTTTTTTATAAATAAAGAAATTAGAAGATTTGTTAAGAAATGATGAATGAGGATTTTGGATTGGATTAATTATTTAATCCCATCCGTAAACATGAAGCATATCTTGTTTTTTTAAAACCAAATTTGTTTACACGTCTTACAAATGAAAGGATTAAAGATTGGTTATTTTATTTTAGTTATACTCCCAAAGAGTTTATATATATTTTTTTTGGCAGATAAGATATTTTATTAACCAATTTTAACCCTGCACTAATAATACTAAATATATCATAAATAGAAGCAATTGAATTAGACAAAATTTCAATTGTATAATCATAAAACTATCAATGAATACAATTATAATGTATGATAAAATTTAATTAGAAAAATCGCATTCATAGCAGCACGATGGTACTTGATTTATTCTACAAATGACCTATTTGCAATATCCGCAAATGCTTGCTATGCCTCAAATTTGACGAAGTATAACATGATGAGTCAAAAGTTAGAAAATTGAAAGAAAAAAAGATTCCTACAAAGGGAAGAGATGATAAAGGATGTTTCTAAAACTACATCACAAATCCAGAACTTCATTTATTATTTTAATTGTTTCTAACATTTTTTTATAAAAAAAAACTATTAATCTCAGTAGATATCTGGACCTGCAGGCAGGGTTGCCAGATATTCTTCACTTGAAAACGTGAGTTTTTCTTTTATAATAATTAATGGGGGACTTCGCCCCCATACCCCCCCCCCCCAATTTGTAATTGATGTAGCATACTCATTTAGGTTAATATATTATATTTAATATAACAAGATTTTAAAATCAATGAAAATTCTTTATTGATTTACTAATAACAATTATGATATATAATTTTCTGATGTTTATAAATATAGCATAATATTAATTATTATATTTTATGGATGATTTTAAAAGAGGCAATAAAGATTTCCCATCGGCACTGTTGAGATAGGCTGAAAACTCTTGGCATGAATAGTTATATTTAACCATAAGTTTAGCTTCCAATGATGACGTTCTTTTCGCCAAGCAGTAGTCATTAGACTGAATATTCTATCTGATGAAGCATTTGAATGCGGAATAGAAAATAGAAAATTGCATATTTTCTATTTAAATGGTGAGTTTTTACTAGAAAGAAAATCCATCTATTTTTCTTGGGTATTCATGTGTAGTTTTTTGATAATTTTTCTTCATAATAGGAATAAAATTGTGAATATTCCTCAAAGAGAATTTCTGTATCTATGTTTGGTATTTTATAATTACTAATAATTTTTTGTAATTGTTCAAATTCTGGACATTATTTTAATGTCATAGGGTTAAAATATTTCCATAAATTATCTATAATATCATAACGTTTTTCTACATATTCTATAATATTTTTTAAAAATATCTTTGATTCATTTTTGAAATTTATTGCTTTTTCTATATCATTATTATGTTGTAAAATATTTTTAGAAATGCTCCCATAAAAATTTTGTTAAATTTTTAAATTTAATGAACTCTTTAGTTTTAGGATAAGATCATGTATATATATTGCTAATACATCTTCATATTGCAATTGTAAATTTATGTTATTGACTTAAGTGCCAACGTTAAAGACAACACCTAAATATGCCTCTGCAAAATCATCTCCAAAAATTATTTTCAAAATTAGGTTGTTGATAATGATAAAAAATATTCTTTAAGGGGTTGAAAATACTTAAGCATCCGCTTAATCGCTGGGATTAATGTAAGCCAGCGTGTTGGAACATGGCGAAGTGATTCTCACCATTCTACCAATTCTTTTAAAATTGTACTTTTTGTCGAGTTGCTAAATTCATTATAGCATTTAATTTCTATACTCTCAATATCATATTTAAGAAAAATTATGGCCTTTTTAAAAGAATTGTGAAGAAAGTGGCATATACAACCCATTGGTATAATATTATTACTATGACTTTTCAATTCTGTCCAAATACTTTAATTTTTCCCAAAGCTTACAGATGCGTTATCTGCAAAATAGACCGTTACATTAGCAATATCAAGTTCAGCGAATTTTAAATTTTATAGCAAGCATCTAGATATGTCTTTAGGGGTTTCACAGTCAGCCGAAAAAATTTTAAGTATTAAACATTTATTCCATTCTTTTTGTTGAAGTATCTAAGTAATAAGGGAAATGTTTTTATATTACCTTTATTCTATGCATCCATTAGTATTGAAAACGGATGATTGTTTTTTAGATCTTTTATAATATTTGCCCTTAATCTATTTCATTTAAAATTTTACGAGTTTTAATATAGATTTATAAAATCCATAAAAGAAATGTATAGTTATTTAAATTCATATTATAATTATACTTGATAAACTTTCTAAAAATTGAATTTATGTGGTAATTGATCAATGAATATGATTGGTTAGTTGGACTATTAACAAATACTACAATTTATTTAAATATTTTAAAAAAAAATTAATTTAAAATTTTATATTTGTCTTTAAAAATATTTTAAAAAAATTTAAACGTGGGAAAAAGTGTGAGACTAAGTGTGATTATTTTAATTTACTCAAAAAACGTGGGAAAAGCGTGAAGTGTGAGAAAACGTGGGTAAGTAAAAAATTAGGTATGAAGTCGTGAGAATCACGGCTAAATCGTGACATCTGGCACCCCTGCCTGCAGGCCCCTGTTTAAAATATTAGTATAATATAACCATAAAGTGTTATAGAAAATGTTAAAAGAAAGAAAAAAAATCGAAAATTTATAAAAAGTATAAAAAATTGTTTAATTTGTACTTTATATTTTTTTGTTGTGTTTTTCTTTTATAATTTTTAGTTTATATAATTTTTTATATAATGATTATTGATAAACTGATTATTTTAATAAATTAATTTACTATCCTTGATTCTTCATCTTTATTTGCTAATTAAATTTGGATTGTTAATGTTTTTCCCAGAGACATGCAAGAGGTACTATTTGCACGGCCCGGCCTAGATTTTATATTTTAAAAAAATATATTCACGACCCGGATTTTTTTAAAATATATTTTATTTATTTTTAATTTTTATAAGTGATGATTTTAAATATTTTAAAACAGACGACCCTGCCCAGTTTAAAAAAAATATATTTTAGGCCTGGCCCAGATATATAAAAATTAAAATACGGCCAGGCCCGTCCGGACTTAGGGCTGGGCGTGCAGGTCTCTGATTTTCACTCACATTCAAAATTTAGAATTCAACAAGTTATTTAAATCTTGGTAATAAACTAAAAAATTAAAATTGAAAAACCTAGGATATTATCTAAATCTAAATTTTATGCTCGTAGCAAAATATTAAATTATTTTAGAACTTTCTGTTATCAATTCTCCCTGTCAACAGTTAATTGTCATCAATGATATTATTTTCATTTTTAAAAATAGCTTTTTTTAATGAATCGACATTTTATTGAATGATATGCTCAGTTGAAATTAGATGCTGGAGTCTGGTATTACGATTTAAGCGGTATTTCTCTATCAGGGTGTCACAGCAACCCTATTGATGCATTAAAATATTTTAACATACATTATTTAAGAATAAGAACTTATTAAAACTCTTTTTGATAATATAGCCACCATTCCTTTAATTACTTGTACTAATGTACCACATTTTCAACTTAAAATTGACTAAAAAGCTTACAACGACCTCTGACCAGGTTAGAACTAATGGATTAACTCTTTTAAAAATATATAGAGAAATCAATCAACTCAGGTTGAAATCATAAAAGGAATGGTTAAAAGTCTGCTTAGGATTAAAATGTTTTAACAATAAAATTGAATTTATAAATAATATATTTTTTTAATATCAATGCCATACAAAATTGATAATTATTTTTTTTTATCAATAGCAAACTAAATGTTTCTTTTTTTTCAAATAAGCGACCATAAAATTTATAAAGTCTTCCTTTTTTTATCAATAGGAAAGGGAAAATTTATATATTGACACCGTGTTAAAAAAATACATATATAACTTCCTCTCATACTGATTGTTATTGTAACAAAATAGGATGTCCTTAATTTATGCATTTTATATGTGTAATACTAATAATGTGATATATTATTTTATAATTAAAACAGGAGATTATTTGTATTTTAACTAATCGATCTCTCGTTTATACTAAATAAATAGATTTCTTTACTCTCATTGATCAACTTTAAATTATAAAGGTAACTAATGATTTGATATTATTTATTGCTAAAAGCCTTCAAAAAAAATATAATATTCGAGATATGTACTACATATATATATTTGCTTTAGCAGATAGTTAAACATATTTACCTAGCACCGAGAAAAAAAATATTTTTACCTCTAGTTAAAATAGTAATTTTAAATACGGGCAAAATACTGATGACCTGTTAATGGGAACCCACAATCTTTTATTGGTATGGTCCCTCCCCCTAAGGAATATTCCTAGCTTTGCAATTCCCTCAATTGAAATTTTCCAAAAAATAGAGAAG